TTTACTTAAAAATCAAAATCATATACAAAACTAAATCAGCACTTATAGACCTTAGCAATACAAATTAGATCAATTTTCTAAACATGTCCCTATCCCTTAGCCTTGTTTTTACAAAATTAACTCACATATACCATTTCTAGATAGATTGGCATTGTTTTCGTTAAAACAATTTTTTTTATGAAATTTCTTATGCGTGGTGCTTTTGCAATATTTTGGAATATTGTTTCAATTTTTTTTGAAATTCATAGGGCACTTTAATGAAATAGATCTGATAGGTAATTGTTCTGTTCAATGTTTAAAAATAACACTGCAGTTATCACTTTAAGTAAAATGTACTTAATTCTTTTGGAGAAATTTCGCCTCTCTAATTCATACAAAAATTTGTTTATTGCAAGCCTTGCTTAAACAGTTTAACTAAAAGTAAATTGCGAATTTTCCTAATGTAATTTTCTCCATTTCCATGTGTACCATTTTTATGAAATTTTCTACACTTTTGATTTTGAGAAGAAAAGTTTGGCATATTTGAATTTTTTTCTCGCCGCACGTCAAATATGACAAAGATGTACAGGGTGAGTAAAAAAAGTTTGATTTGCGGCGCCTGGTGCAAAAATGTCCCTTTTTTGTGCAACTCTCCTGTATGGAGTTCTTTTCAATATTATTTGAAAATTTGTAATTTTTTTTGGTACTACAATGGCCCCAAAAAAAAATCCGCGAACCTTTTTTTCTCTTAAAATCAAAAGTTTAGAAAAACAAAAATGTGCAAATAAATTTGTTCTATCGAAATATAAAATCTTCAAAAGATTCAATCACAGAATCTCAGAAAATTAGCAAAATTTTAATCAGAAAATTCGAAATTTTCAGTTCTAGTATAATTTTTACGGAAAAATTGTTTTTCAATAGTTCTTAAGATTTTAACTGCAGCATATATTTAATACTTGAGAATATACTAACAAGAAAGGAACTAGAGAATTCAAATTACTTTTTCTTAAATATTTTTTGTCTCACATACTTTATTCCCCCCCCTCCCCCATTTATAAATATCTGCAAACGCCCCTGTCATAAGATCATTACTCCAAATAACAATACATGTAATTCTAAATAAGAATAAAAATATCTAATATGTTAAGTACATTTGAATATTTATAAAACAGATAAAGTCTAACTTTGAATTCTAATATCGACACATATTTTTTCGAAATATCGAATATTTGAAACCGCTTCGAATATTCGAACATTTTGTACGATATTGATAACAGAATCTCAGTGATGTGGAAAAGAAAAAAAAATCGTAACATGCTAGTCCTATCAATATCTAATTCACCGAAATCAGTTCGAAATTCTGAATATTTGGTTAGAATTTAAGAAAAAGGTGTTATTACTAGATATCCCATATATTGTTTTCATAATTGCAAATACAATGCTTATTGTTGCTCCGATGTTCGATATTACTAAAAAAGAATGTTATAGTTTGTTAAACAGTAGGTTGTATATGAGCTTAAAAATTGCGCTGAAAAGAAGAAAAAATGAAAATTTCTCCATTTCGCTTTTCGAACAACCAGTGCATTCAGGGGTGTATATTTTCTTGAAAAAATCATGTTTCTCTCCCCACCCCCACTTTTAAAAAATATTTTTGTTTTCCAAATAGTAATATTTGCTAGTCTGGACCGAAAACATTTTTTTAGAGCTTTTTCGCTGAATTGAGGGGAAAAATGATTTAAGAGAAAATCTATGAATTTTAATTAGAAAGTATCAAAAAAAGTTTCCTTTTGATGTCAAAATTTTCATTTCCCCCCCCCCCCCCCCATCATCAAAATCGTTTATTCTGAAAAATATACACTTCTGCACTGAATATGAATAAAGCCATACGAATATCTAAAATATTTAAATTGATAGGAATCACTATCAGTTTTTCTATTATAAGTTTATATTCAGATTCTCATATTTAAAGATCAAAGCATTTAATTCCGCATTTGTGAGGCTTATTTCATCGATTTTTTTTTCAGGGATGAGTGACTTTAAGCGTTATTTCAAGTGACCCTCCATGCAAAGTTGGCATTACCCAATTTACAATGGTACCCTTGAAACCTTAATCTTATCAAACACGTGGAAGATTCTCACTATTGCTTCTCACAAGCAAGAAATGCGCGAGTCACTTTTGCGAAGAAAACGCAAATGTAAATAAAACATGGAATTTATACAAAATCAGACAAAGTGTTCAAGGGTACCTATGTAAATCCACATTGCCATCTTTGCTTTTTTTCCTGTTTACATGTAAGAGAAGCTGTTCATTTCAAGGGAAAATATTCTTTTTTATAACAAAAATATTTTCTGATGACAATTAATTTTTTGACTTTTTATCTAAATATTTGAAAAAATAGCTGTTTATTTTTGGTTTATATTGTTTGGGGTATCCCTGAAGATCGATACGATTTTGAAGTAAACATGAAGTCTGTACATCTTATTAAAGTGCGCACTTCACATTCTATCTAGCTGTGTTAAATATCGACCAAAAAAATGATTTTTTTTTCTATTTTTTGTACATTCTGATAAATGTTGATAATAAAAGTTTAATTATAGAACTATAAAAACATCATTAGAGTTGTTATCTATTGATTTTTAAAAAGGTTTCAATAAAATTGAGAGGAGAATTGTTAAGTGGTTTGCTTAACATATTTATTTATGAAAACATTACTTACAAGTTTCAATCAGACCTTTAACACAAAAAGTAGTAAATAAAAACTCTAATTTATATTCGAATTATAGAACTGGACGACAGAATTTGAGAATTACAATTACATATTTTCCGAAATTAAGAACAGAATTTTAGAAATAAAATATTTGTGAGACCTCTAATGTTTAATTAAAAACAAAATTTCGAAATTGCGAAAAGATTTTAGTAGATATAATTATCAATTAACATTTTTTTTAGACACTGCCGTCACAATTTTTAAAATCTATTTCATTTAAGACAAAAAAGCTAATCTCTGTTTTTGCTACTTTTCCACATTTTAAACAAATTTTGTGAAACCTATTCACCCCCTTTTCTTTCCCCTATTCACTCCTTTCCTTCACCTTTTTACACCCTTTTAACTCCCCTTGTTACGGGCTTGTCTTCTCCTTTGAAGATCTACAGAGTTACCCACAAAGAATTTGACAGTAAAGACGACCTAAAACTCTTAGGATATAATAATCCCATGGTGAAATTAAGTATTCGGTCTTGACTACAGTCTTTAAATGGTTTAATAAATGATTTAGTAAGACACAAGTTTACAGTTACGGGGAATTAATCACGAACAAAATAAAACAGATCAGCATAAATTCAGTACAGTCGTCTCTGAAGTCTTGTCCTGTGTGGGTAACCCTGTTAAAGTTTTTGTTTATGTTATTAGGGGGGAATTTTGGAACTATGTAAATATGTAAATATGTCTTCATTATTTTCAGAAATGTGTCAAAAACTTGAAACTAAAATATTTGTCACACGGCCTATGTTTGACAAAAATAACATATTACAACAAACATCCCCCACACTTATTCTTCTTTCCTTCCGAAGTAACATATCTTTCTCTTAATATAGAGAAATTAATAAAAATATGTAATAAATACAGCAATCCCCTTATTTGTTAACCTGAACATACCTAGATATACATGAGCTTTGTAACATGATAAAACATGCATTGTGATTAGATTAACTACGTTTATAAATATCCATGTTAATCTTCTAATTACGTACATTCACCTTAAAATACACTGTAAACATGGGGATAGCTTAAATATGTTATATCTATCCTTGCTAATCTTATAGATATGTACATTAAGCTTAAACTATGCTGTATATATAATGTAATTACTTCGATTCACGTTAATTTGGAACATAAGATATCTAAAATAAATTAGTTGAAATTGATACTCTGCTTTGATTACGGTATTAGAAGTAATTAGTCCTCGTTGAAGCATACAAGGTAAGATTGTACCTAGAGATTTGGCATCTATCGATTAAGACATTAAGAGCTTGTTTGATAGCTAGGCTTGTGTCCATGTGTGCCATTCAGAGGTGATAGTCCTTGTTGTAACAAAAGAGCTGAGATTGTGCCTAGAGATTTGGCATTAATTGATTGAGAGTGTGTTTTATAGCTACGCTTGTGTCCGTGTTGACATTTAGAGCCGATAAGATTGTGCCTATTGGCTTGGCATTGATCGCTTAAGAGTTTGTGTCCCGGTTAATATTTATAGCAGAAGAGTTGTACCTGGATTGATAGAGTTCTGGACGAAGTTTTAAAAGTAACACATTTACTACATGTGGTAGCAGCAGCCAATGCTATTGCGCGCAATTTCGCGCAATTCCTTTGCGTTTAATGCGCGCAGTTATTACGGAAATGCTTAAATTTACTTGTGGGGCAATTAATTATTTGTGGGGCTTGTCATATATGTAAGTTTTAAATCTGTAGCTCAAAATATAAAAAATTAATGAACTATTTTAGCTGAAAACGTTTATTCTTCTATAGGAACAATATAAATGGTTACCCACTAAGGATAAGACTGTAAAGACGACCAAAAACTCTAAAAGTATGACAATTGATGCTTGATTTTTGGTTTCCGCATTTAATTGGGTATTTTAATGGTTTACTAAATGATTAAGCACAGAGATCAGCCAGTTTTGGCCTACAAGGAACCCTGAATGCAAGAAAAAGAACTAAGCAATCGTCTCTGAAGTCTACTTCCTTTGTGGTTAACCCTGTATTATTTTAGTTAAAAATAGTGTGAAATTAAAGACGACATTCAACCCCTCCTCTTCTTATAACCGATTGAGGCCGTTCCTACCCTTTGAATGTATGAACATTTTGTATCTAGGATACGAACTTTATTTAGGTCAGCACTTGCCCATTCATTTTTTATAGGTTGGAACAGATGCTCACTTTTTGTACATTCAGCACTATTTTTGCATGGAGGGTCACTTGAAATTACGTTTATAGTCGATCCCTGTAAGAAAAAAAAAAATTAGCTTAAAAGTGAATGTATATATATATTTAATATAAAATGTTCAAAAATAAAGGTCAGATGAATTTATGTTGTTTCAGTGAAAATTTAAATATCACAGATTGATAATTTCAAAAAAGCTGTCAAAATACAGTGTGAACCAGAAAACAGTGGAATAGGAAGAAGACATAAAAGCAATTTTTAAAGTGTATTTGAAGTTTAAAAAAGGAAAACGTATTTACTTAAAAATGACTTATTACGTAATATATGGATTATATGCATCCAATTCATAAAATTGGTGTGACGACAGACGACAAACTACGAACTCCAGACTACAGACAGAGTTACATAAAGGTTAAGTTACAGCCCTTATTTTCATTAGACTATTTAAAATCATAACTTGAGTCTCAATGTCGTCTTTCTATTCCACAGTTTTCTTATTATCACTGTAAGAATATTGGTGAAGGGTATCAAACAGTTGGTCAAACGTTCTATACAAATAGGTGTGCAATTAAACGTCTTTAATTTGGTTTAAGGGATTTAATTCAGGGAAATGAGAAACTAAAAAAAATTCGGATTTACAGTTTACACACAAAACGATACTGCACAAGTTAATGATAATATATATACGAGTCAAATTCCCACAAGGGCCAAGTCTTAAAATGTTTTTTTTCTTCAAGAGATGAGGCATCGTTTAAAACAGTGATTTTGGCAAACTAAAGCATAAATTAATGTTTTGTCATTTTTAGTGTCGTTTAGTGTCTTTATACGTTATAGTGTGTTCACGCTTTTGGATCTCCGTTCACTTCTACTTTCTTTCTTGGACCGTCGTCTTCTAAAAAAAAAATAATTTTAAAGGGAGTGTTCGCGAAAAATGAAAGGGGTTATGATTACCATTTAAGCCTTTGCCTGAGCATAAATGGATTCTCTATAAAATTGGCCCGCTATTTCATGCATCAAAGTCAAAGAACGAAAATATAAGAATATAACACTTTTCCTTATGTTGCCGATAATCTATGAAAATTAATTAAATTCTAATCTTCGTTAATTCTGGCGTCTGATGATTGTCCCCGAACAAACCCAATGAAAACAGTTTAAGAGTTTGTTAAAAAGGATCAAGATCAAATCTCTCCTGGATAATTAAATATATAATACTTGGTGCGTTGCTTAGCACTTATAACTCAGATTTAGCCTTAAAAGGTGGATCGAGTTCGACCTCTGACGTGTATATTATTTTTATTAAATAAACATCGATCCATTTGGCATTTTTTATGACCACTTAATTATTTCAGTATTTCAGTGCAAAAAAATTAAATTAAATTTTTGCATATTTGCAATATTTTTTTTGTAGATTCTGCAAGTAGAGCAAGAGCTTTCCCATGATGAATGATTTGTCATATTTTGACATCAAACATGGGATTTAGAGGAGCGCGTATCTTGGTTTTCAAGTACCCCAGCAGGGACAGGGTTAATAAATAAAAATTTTCTTAATATATCTAATATCTTCGTCAATTTTTATGACACAATAAAGGGAGACCAGTTTATGAAAAGCTCGTAAGACGCACAGTCTCTTTTTATACTTTCTTTTTCATCCATTAAATATCAGAAATCAAAGTCGTCTTTAAAGTCGTCACTGAATTCTCAAGTTTATTGGGACACCGTCCTAGCTGAACCTTGATTTCTCGGTTCCTCCAGATACAACTTCTATCAAGTTCTCCATACTCTCTTCACTCTTACTCCGACTCAGGTCTCCGGAAACCCTGGAGCAAAGGATTTTTAAAGATGGTCAAATATTTCTACAATATTTTAAATATACTAGACCCTCTCATCAGATCCGAGTTAAGAAGGTATGTCGCTACTCTGCATAGATAGAACTGTTGAGAATGCACAAACTCTCATTGTGCAATGATTAGTTTGTGTATTTAAAAAAGTGACATTGCAATAGTCATAATATTAATGTGTGATATCGTTATCCAAACATATGATAAATTTTGTTAAAAGTTTGTGAGATCTTAACACTTCAATTATTCTAATGACTCTGTTTTCTACTCTATCAAAATAAATTTCTTTTTCACATGCATAATATGCTCCAAGTTCTACCATAACTTGTAAAGTGTCAGAGCAAATGATTGCCTATTTTAAAAATGACCAGTGTCCGAATTTAATGAATTTGAGCCGCGTCTTAAATCCGCCAAAAACCGGTTTCAATTAAGCACCGGCTTAAATCTTAAAACTTTGAATACAATTTTCAGTGAAACCAACTATATATGAGCCGCGGCTTAAATTTAACCCGCCACTCAAATTCTGATGCTATCCCACGAATTTGTTTATGTTCTCTTCTATATTCCTTGTTGGTTTTAAATAAAAGTGTTGGTAATACTAAGCCTAGCCTGCGGGGATAAATTTCATTGAGGAATCAGTAGCCACATTAAAGGGAGTGTTCTCAAGAAAAGAAGGGGGGTATATGCATTGCATACGGTGAATAATAATCGCTTTTAATCGCTAGTAATCTTACTTCTGTACTGTAGCGTCTATAATATTTGTTATCTGTTTTATATACAATCCACTTAACACGACGTTTTTTCCGCTAGGTGTCTCTGCCACGCGTATCATTCAAAGTATCGAGAGCAGAGACACTTGGCAACCAACTATTATGGTGTTTGAAGGGCATTGTATATACAAAGCAAATACAAAATATTTTGAAATATTAACTATATGCGAATGCGTCGAAAAATAAGCGACGACTATTGTTTGTAATATCTAAATGATTTGTTTGGAATTAAATTGATTTGTTTACAATCCGAGTTGAATGATGCAACTTTCTGAATTTGTATGGACGCTACGTTCTTCAGTAAAAGTAGTTTTTAACAATTTTCTCCTTAAAGACGAAACAGATAGAAGTAAGATTGTAGCGACCAAAGGCGATTATTTTTCGCCGTAAGCCTATACCCCGTTTATTTTTCGCGAACACTCCCTTTAAATATTAAGTACAAATATTATAGATTTACTTTATATCTCCCAACAACTTCAGCAAATATAATTCCATTAAATAATAATGGTAATATAATCTATTTCGATCAAATGTATGATATTACAATTTTTAAAATGTCATAGTTTTCGAAATATCAAAATATATTAAAATCCTACTTATAAAGAGCAGCATAGCAGGCAACAATGGAACCTCTCATTTTCTGTAATCCATCCAATATACTCATCTCCTGGTTATAATCCTCTACCTAGAGATATTTATATATATGTATATATTCCTGGTTATAATCCTCTACCTAGAGATATATATATATATATAGAGAGAGAGATGTATATACTAGTCATCCAATATACACACCGGCTTCTGATTGGCTGTAATTGGAATTCTGCATACTCCACTTAATTGATTGAATTTTATATTTATATTTTGTTCTGAATACAAACTAAAGATCAATTTAATCTTGATATTAATTAGAAGAGAAGATTAAGCATTGCGTTGAGGCAAGTGTTCAGCTCTGACTAAGTATATCTATATTTTCTAACGATTCTGGGGTTTCCCATTTTATTTTGTGTGTGACAACTGACAAGCAAAGACAATTAATGCACTCATGAATAAATAATTACGAAACATTGAGCATTTAAACCCAGACATTAAATTCTTTTATATAAGTAAAATTTAAAAATGTAAAATTGGAAATTATAATGCATCCATATATTTGAATAGAGTTTATGATTATTCGGTCTGGTTTGTAGGTAGGCAAGGACTTATTAAAGTAAAAAGTTAAGAACAAATATAAAAAAATAGCAATTAATTGTCATGCATTTTACATACAGGCCCATTTGACTGAGTAAGTTGATTTTATAATTTACCATGATGAAACATTATAAGCTTCCATGATGAAACATTTTAAGGTACCATGCATGATGAAACTTTATAAGGTACCATGATGAAACTTTATAAGCTACAATGATGAAACTTCATAGGCTACCATGATGAAACTTTATAAGCTACCATGATGAAACCTTTTTTCTTTTTAATAACATCAAATACGCATAAGATTGTTTAAATGCCGTATTCCTATTCCACATGTGTATAGGAACCTGCACAATAAAAGAAAAAAATTATGTAATCTAACCTTTACATTCATAAGCATAATGTACATGAACATCTTGTTATTTCCAGGAGACGTTTGTCGTAGAAAACTTATATTTTGAACTTCGATTTTTGCCTGAAAAAAAAGTAAAAAATTTTAATATATAATAATAGTTACCAAAGTAAGTGCATTTTTACTCATGCGAAATTAGGTACACTTATTTTATTTTCTTCGAATTTTGCAGAATTGCGCGCAATAAATTTCGCAAATTTACTTGTAATTTCGATCTAATTCGCGTAATAAATGCCAAGTTACGGGGGAAATAAGAATAAATTACGCAAAATTTCGCGTTATTTGAGAACATTTTAAGTTCGCATATAGTTTTAGGAGTTGAAGGAGAGAATGTGTAAAAATATTTAATTTAGACCCCTGCAGCCTCTTTACGGTTTAACAAAATGTCTATTGGCAAAGTTTAAACACAAAAAACGATAAGGTTTTACCTGAAGTATAAAAGTTTTTAACAAATTAATATTTGTCCAAGCTTTCCAATACTTTTCTAAACTTTTAGCAGTCCGACTACCAGACTCCATTACCTTACAATTATAAATAAATATAAACAAAATTTAGGATCGTATTCTAACAATTATTAAGTTATTTTCCAAAAATATAGTGAAATTTTTTGCCATTAAACATTTTGCGATTATTTGAACTATTAGAAATATGTTACCCATTAAATACTGTTCGAAAAAATAATTGCTAATGTTACAGAAAAGTCACAAATCGAAAATGTTGTATTTTTTTTCAAAATGTTTAATGTTCACCTTACAGCCGAGAAGAACAATAGCATTGGTTTCAAATACAGGTTGTCTTTCCTTAGTTACGAGAATCTGAAGAAATAATATTTATTCTATAAAATAAATGAGGATAATTATAAAATTATAATTTTATTTTTATTATATTTTAACAAATTATTTAACAAGGGACGATTTATTTAGAGTATGGTATGTTACAATCTTCTAATAACAGAGACCAGGCCCGGTACGAACTTTTTTCTGGGAAAATTCTAACAATGACTGTAAGCATAATTTCAATTGCCTTCCCTTTTTTAGAGGGTGAGGTCCCATTCACATGGGCACCCTTTATTTCTATATCTGAGCAAAATTGATAATTTTAAATTGTAGATTCTAAAAAAAATAATAAAAAAGTGGCTGCCGACAAAAATCAAAAGTTTCTGCATTAGTAAATCAAAGATATCTTCCTGTATATCAGACATCCAATTCTTCTTTAAAGGGACTGTTAAGGAAAAATGAAAGGGGGTATTATAGGGTGAAACCTAAGCATTTTAGATTTGATCGGGGCCCATGCAAGTTCTATCTGATGTTCCTGTATCGAGAAATTGATATAAAACTAGATATATAAAATTTTGTATAAAAATCGTAGGTTTAAACAAATCGTATTAAGCAAATACGCAAACAATCTGAAAACAACGATATCCCAGAGGAGCCTAAGTAACTTAGGTTTGCTCCTATTATTATTTGAATTTACTAATGTTTCATTTTTAACAGATAAAATTGATCATATTATTTGTACGTCCGTATCACATTATCAGAACTCCCACCAATGGTAGTGCAGTATACTCATCATGTGATACAGACGGAGACTCGTGACAGTAATACTGCACTGCCATTTCTAGAGACAGAAACATAAGATGACCTCATATGGGTCTCGATCAACTCCTAAAATGTTTAGGTTTTAGCCTATATCCCCTTTCATTTTTCCTTTACAGTCCCTTTAATGGGTCGCTTCAAATTATCATGATCTGATTTTACTATTTAAGTTTAAAACTAATTCAAAATGTAGATATACCTGTTCTAACTCGGTAAAAACTCCTTGTACCATGCCATAGTTGAAACTACCAATTCCTATACTCTTTATGAATTTTCTAAAATAAGAAGACTGGTTAAAGGAATACATTTAAAGGGACTGTAAATTGAATTTTAAGTGAAAACTTTATGGAAATGAGTAGGCCGATTCATAACGATACCATTTATAACTTTGTGGGATCAAAGATAAATTAAATTATTATACAGTTGTTCATAAAAAATAAATTGTTTTTATTTTCAGTCATTCTTTTCAATGTTACTCAGATATATGTTTAAATGGCACTATTGGGAATCCGACATCCTGCTCTTTAAATCTATGATTACTTTAAATGATGTTCACATTTACTTTAATAATCCTATTGTTTTTCTTGTAGCATAGTGGTGGAAAACAAAGGAATTGAATTTTGGTCTCAAACTCTGATTTTCTAAATCCTTTATCATTGCAACCCAATGTCGTAGACCTTAGATATTTCAATCTATGAATTCTGTTAGACTTAATAACATTGGTTTAAATTATCGAAGCGGTTTACACCATTAGATTGCAAAGGTAAAGGGTTAAAAATAAGAGTGTGTTACAAAACTCTATTTCTTTTGTATTTACATTTTGTTGTTAATTTAGATAAAAATTATAAGAATATTTTGTTCGCTAATTTTAATTGGTTGGGTAAATATTTAAAACATTAACTCTATTCTTGCAGTGGACTCCCCCCCCCCTGTAGTTTTTTTACATAAATCCAAAAGTATTGGTCTAAGGCTGTTGAAATTTTCTGACTTTTCCTAAACACCTATAGCCCTCCCTGAATGACTACTTTTTCCTGTAACAAACTAAATTTCTGTTTGACCCACTTTCATATTTTGATAAGTTTTAGCTTTTTGGAAAGCCTATGACATAAGGAAACGAATTGCACAAGTTTTGAAAAGAAACTTTTGCAAATTATTTGCATACAACCCGTCAAAAGAAATTTGCATATTATTAGTATTTCTTAATTAGACATCAGGTTATTTAAAAGATTGCAAATATTTTTCCAAATTGGAAATGACATGGTCAAGGGTTTTTCAAATCTGTATATATTATCATTTTTTGGACTTTTTTTTGCAAAGTTTTTTACTATAAATACTGGATTTTGCAAAAACAAATTCAATTTTTTGCATATTTGCAAAATTTTTTTGCCGATTCTAAAAGTAGTGCATAAGAGCTTTCCAATGATGCATCATTTGTTATATTTGGACATCAAACATGGGATTCAGAGGGGGGAGTCAAATTGCCCCCCCCCCAGCGTTTCACGGTTTTCAAGGACCCCAGCAGAGATAGGGTAAAGCGAATACTTACTTTGGTCTTTCTAACAGTGTTTTAATTGTAGGCTTGTCCATGTTTAAGTGAAGTAGTGGATAAAGAGCTGAAAAAAGTTAACTTTAAATTGTAACAAAAAATGCAAAAAATAAAGAATTCTTGTTGAAATAATTTTGAGTGACCCTCTTTTTCAATACACTGTTATGTTTCGTTTTGAAATACAGTGTAAAAAAGTAAAAGATTGACGAGCAAAATATATAATTCGTTTTACCCTCCGATAGAATTAGTGCTCTGATATAGTATGCCTCCGATATATTTACCTCCGAGAGCATTTCTTTCGATAAATTTACCTGTAACAGCATTGCCTCCGATATATTTACTACCAACTGCATTGCCTCCGATATATTTACCTCCAACTCCATTTCCTCCGATATTTTTACCTCCAACTGCATTGCCTCCGATATATTTACTTCCAATTGAATTGCCTCCGAAATATTTACCTCCAACTGCGATGCCTCCGATATATTTACCTCCAACTGCATTGCCTCCCATATATTTACCTCTAACTGCATTGCCTCCGTTATATTTACCTCCAGCTTCAATGCCTCCGATATTTTACCTCCAACTGCATTGCCTCCGATATATTTAACTCCAACTGCATTGACTCCGATATATTTACCTGTNGAATCCGATATATTTACCTCCAACTGCAATGCCTCCGATATATTTGCCTTCAACTGCAATGCCTCCGATATATTTACCTCCAACTGCATTGCCTCCTATATATTTACCTCCAACTGCATTGCCTCCAATATATTTACCTCCGACAGCATTGCCTCCGTTGTTTTCAGATCCTGTGAAGAAAACTCCGTCTTTGAAAATACTTGAACTATCCCTCAGCTTCCGGGCAACTGAATCCTAAAGTGGAAACACTCAGGATGAAACTAAATTTACAGAAAAATTCACTGCAAAGTGTAAGCTAAGAAGAAGGTCAAATTTATATTTATTATATTATTCAATAAACTGTATACGATTCAATTTTTGATCAATTTTAAGCAACTTAAAATTCAAATTTTCCTTGAACTTTCTGTTTATTAAGTTAGCCACCCGATTCACTACGGTACCACCTTTGTTTTTGCAACAAAACAAAATCAGTATTAGTAGTCTCTCTGAAAAACGGATATTTTGCTATTGCGGTTTCACTATTACTCAGATAAAGGGTTAAAGGGTCAGGTTTTGATTCAGGCATTCAACTCTTTAAAATGTAGGTTTGTGTCAAATATCATCTCCATTCCCTTTTTACAACAATTAACATATACAAATAAACCACGCAACCTCCAAACTGTAGAGAAATTTCGTGAATTGAATTCAGTTGAAATCAGCAAGAGTCGAGGGATAAACATTTTCTATTCTTTTCTTTCTGCTATTTAAAATAAATAAAAGGATCTCTGCTGAACAAATATATATCTTTTTGTATGATATATTTTATGTATCTCTGTCACATTTTTCTAATTTTATTCACGAAATAAGAGATTAATTCAATTTTGATTATTGCTAAATTTTCATAAACAAGTTTTAGAGCAGCAAGACCCAGTTTTTATATGGAAACATTTTAAAGCAGAAATACCTATTTAAAATGCTGATATGTCTAAAAATGTATATATAGATTATAATATATATCATACCTACATTGCATATGCAGATATATCTCTGCGTAAAACTTTATTACAGGGTATTTGCAGTGTTCACACAATCAGCTGCTTCTTTAAACATAAAAAAAATGCGCAAACTATATATGCTACAGGGTGTCCAAATAAGCATGGATATTACGTATAATTACTTTTATGCAGCTAAACCAGTAATATCGAAAAATTATTACTTTTTTTCGAAATGGTCTTGCTGTTTTTTTTAAATTGTCACAAACATTAATAAACTGGTCCAGATTCACCATTTTTATTGAGACACCCTGTATTTGTTATTTACACAAAACTTCATTAGAGGTGCACTTGTTCATTTAAATCAAGACAAAAATAGAATACCATAAACTACCATAAACTACAATAAATTAACATAAACTATCATAAACTACCATAAACTACCATAAACTATCATAAACTATCATAAACTATCATAAACTACAATAAAATACCATAAACTATCAACTATCATAAACTATCATAAACTATCATAAACGATCATCAACTATCATAACCTATCATAAACTATCATAAACTATCATAAACTATTATAAACTATTACAACTAGCATAAACTATCATAAACCATCTGAAACTATCATAAACTATCGGAAACTTTCATCAACTATCAGAAACTATCATCAACTAATAAATTATCTGTAAATATCGCTATCAGTCTTTCAGTCTTGTACATGTTGAATGATTGGGTCGCATGCCATGTATGAATCAATGTTTTTAAAAAGGGGATGAAAGACGACTTTTACAAATGTTAGAAGTCGAATTGCACAATTTTCAGGGGCATTTTCTATCAATCTGGTAGATCTTTAACCTTTGCCTAAATTATCCAAATTTCGAACCAAATATTTGAAATTTTGAAACTATCATGGTTTAATGGTATTCGGTAGTTTGTTATAATAAAACAAACATGGGTTTCTACCCAGCCAGGTCAAAACTTCCTAAAGCTCCTCGTTTTGAAGTATACCGTGATAACCAATAAATTATGGAACTATTGTCAGCTTTGCTCTTTCTTTCACCAGAAATACCACTCAAAATCTTGTACTTGTAACAAATATTACAAACAGTTTCTTCAAACATTGTCCCGAGAATATTTTCAGAGATTTACCCGTCACACATTACAAAATGCTGCGCGGTATTTTTATGATTGAGTGAAGACGACAACTACTCTGCTGTCTATGAACATAGATGTTTTCTAAATGTTGTTTGAGATGTTTTTCAACTTTTATTGTGAATCCTTAACTGTCATCAATGTTAAAGGAAGAAATAAAAATTAAGAAGGGGGGGGGGATTAATTGTAACGCTGTTTGGTTAATTTCCAGACCATTTTGGAAGAAAAACGATTAAATCAAATCCATTTTTATTTCTTCCTACAGAGAGAGTCCGAACTTTTTTCGATATATTAAATCTGAATTATATTTTCGACTGAAGTTAAATCATGTTTCTGGCGATAAAGTGATAAAAGTATAAAGGTTGTAAATCTGATTAGAGGCCGGAACTTTAGTACGAGAAATCAAAAATCTTCAACGCTTGAACTCAATTTTGAGTTTTGACCTTGAAACTTTCAATTTGAAGCGATTAAGCTCCTAATCAGTTATAAGCAGCTAGCTTGTATTTTTGCTTGAGAGATTTATCTCACCCTAAAGGATATCCAAATGAAAGTGACCTTCCATGCAAAGATGTCAATGCCCGATTTACAACGTTAACCTTGAAAGCTTTGTCTGATGCCGACAGTATCTTCCACATTTTTGATCAGAAACAGGTTTCAAGGATACTGTTGCAAATCGGACATTGCCATTTTGGCATGGAGGGTCACTTAAAATTACGCGTACAGTCCCTTTAATATAATCCAGGCACAGCTTAATTCTTTTTAATAACTAGATATAAGTTCCGGTCTCTAAAATGTTGGAAAAGTTTCGAACTCTCCGGACCCAGTGTGCGTGAACTCCCATTAAATTCTGTGAAACCTAAATCAATGTTGACCTAAATCTTATCTTTTTTAACATTTTCTTCATAAACATTCTTTATAACTATTTATAACACAGCTACTAGTCTACAATCACTCTAACGACCTTTATTTGAATATTTCAAAAAATCATTTTCAGGACCTTTAATTATTTTATGGAATTTCCTTTTACATGGTTTAGTGAGTTAAGTGACCCAATCAAAAGTTCATAAAATAAGAATCTGTTATTTTACACTTGACTAAAGTATTTCAACACTTCGTTAAAACCCCAAAATGCTTTTATGCCATCGAATTTATTCATATTTTTCAACTTTGAACTTTTAGATGCATTTTTTTAATTTAAAAACTGGTTTTGTAATATCTGAAAATAACTTTTCACTTTTTAATGCTTTTACTTTTCTTGATTTAATATTTCATGAATGTTCATGGCCTTTCATGATCTTTCATGATCTTTCAAGACATTGTTTAAATCATGAATTTTTATTATCTTTTACAATTTTTGATGACTATGGATGACCTTGAATTACCTTGAATGGCCTGGAATGATCTGCAATGATATGCAATGACCTACAATGACCTGTAATGACCTGTAATGACCTGGAATGACCTGGAACGACTTAAAATGATCTGTATTGATCTGCAATGACCTGTAACGACCTGTAATGACATGGAATGGCCTGAAACGACCTGTAATAACCTGTAATGATCTGCAATGACCTGAAATGACCTGTAATGACCTGCAATGACCTGTTATGACCTTAAATGACCTGTAACGACCTGCAATGACCTGCAATAACCTGGAATGACCCTTGTGCACTCTAGACTCAGGTAGTTCCCTGGAAGCTGTGGAGTATAGTCGCCTGCTTGGTTGGAGTAGATGCTCTTTTCCTTTCTATCTGGCAGATAGTGGATCCACAAAACAAGTATGTAGTTTTATCCCCCCCCCCTACATAGCTACCCCCCCTCTCCTTCGCTACCCTACCTCTCCCTCTCTGTGGCCCCGCCCCCACCCTCTCTCTCAGATCTCATTTCACCCCTTCAAGTTTAAACTGAAGAACCCTCTTTTCTTTGAGCAAATATTTAACAGCTCTCTACAATTCACATTTCAACAATTTGCCCTTTTCTTCCTTTCTCCCTTTGTCCCCTTCTTCCTATTTCATTTTTTTCCATTCTTCGTTTTTTTATGTCTTCCTTTCTCCCTTTTTAACATCTTTCTTTCTCGCTTTTTAATATCTTCCTTTCTCCCTTTTTAATATCTTCCTTTCTCCCTTTTTTATTTCTTCCTTTCCCCTTTCGTTCATTTATTTTTACACTTTTTTTCTGTCTCTTTTTTCTATTGCTTGGTTCTCTCTTTTTTCTTTTATTATTCCTTTCATATTTTTTCTTTTTTTTCTATTTCTTTTCCTTTTCTATTTCCTTTCCTTTTCTATTTCCTTTCCTTTTCTATTTCCTTTCCTTTTCTATTTTCTTTCCTTCTTCAATTATCTCCTTTTCATTTAGTAGACTCTCCTCTTTTCCCATGGATTCGTTTCCTCTTTTTCCTTCCTTCTTTCTTTCTTTTCTTTCCTTCCTTCTTTCCTTCTTTTCTTTCATTCTCCTGTTTTATATTTTCTTTTGTATTTTCTTTTTCTAGATTCTTTCATTCTTCAGTGTTATCTTTTTCTTTCTAAACTTTCCTCTTGTTATTTAGTTGTTCGATGTCTCTTTTTCTTTCATTCATTTTCACTTTCTTTTTATCGTTTTCCCTTTTTCTTTCTTTTTCTCTTATTCTTGAATCTTGCTCAGCTCCTGTCCTTCTAACTCTTCTATATTTTTCAATAGTTTTGTTGTTTTCTCAATAGTCTTTCCACATCACCCTTTGAACCTAAATAAAACCGTTTAAGCCCTCCTATCCTCTCCCCCCTCTCCTTCCTTGCTCCCCTCCCCCTTCCTCCGTCTTCCCTCCCCTTCCTGATTTGATCAAGGAGAGCCCAGGGGGAAATAGGCTTTAAAAAGAGGGATAAAGAAATAATAAGCAAAGGGGGAAACTCTAGGAAGAGGATCAAACCTGTTTTGGAAAATTTTAAATATCATTGTTTATGTTTCAAACATGTTTTTTCCTATCCTTGTTTGAAAAAGAGAATTGTGAAGAGTGGCCGCATTCTTAAATAATCCCATTAAACACTTTTTCTATCTTTTTATATTTCTAGCTCATTGTTTATATTAGTCTATCTTGCACACTTTTTGTTGCAATAAAAGTTCATTTCTATCCAAGCAAGATTTTCTCCATCTAAACATCTAAATATCTTTTCAATTTTGTTTATTTTAAAATTGTCTTTATATGCACAAAAAATATTACTGATTTGATACAAACAAGTTTAAGCCTAACTATGCCTGTCTACAAGTTTGCCATTAAAAACACCTCTATATTGTAGATATATACGTTTTCCGCTAACTACTCCACTATATTGTAGGAAGATATACAAGTTTACCCCGAACTACGCCTCTATACAAGTTTGCCTCTGACCAAGCCTGTATATTGTAGTTCACCCTTAACTACGCCTCTTTACTGTAATTTGCCCCTAACTACGCCTCTATATTGTAGTTTGCCCCTATCTAAGCCTCTGTATTGTAGTTGGCCCCTTACAACTTTTCTTAATTGTAGTTTGTGTATAACTACTTTATATTGTAGTTTGCCTTTAACTACTCCTACATATTGTAGTTTGTCCCTAACTGCTCCTCTATATTGTAGTTTACCTCTAACTACTCCTCTATATTGTAGTTTGCCCCTAACTACTCCTCTATATTGTAGTTTGCCTCAACTACTCCTCTATATTGAAGTTTACCCCTAACTACTCCTCTATATTGAAGTTTACCCCTAACTACTCCTCTATATTGAAGTTTACCCCTAACTACTTCTCTATATTGAAGTTTACCCCTAACTACTCCTCTATATTGTAGTTTGCCCCTAACTACTCGTATTGTAGGCAGATACACAAGTTTGACACCTACGACTCCCAGAATAGCGGCGAGGATGTGAAATATGAACCTCAAGTCTGGGTTTGCAGATCTGATTATCATAATATATGGCTAGGTGAGAACCACACACAACGCACAACACACTCACGCGCACTCACACCACGCACACTCTCTCTTCTTCGTCTAAATGTGCACTCACCTTGTTTTTATGTAAAATGTAATGCAAATTGAAAGCAAAGGTTGACAAAATAAACATAAAAATAAAGGGAACGTTGACGTATTTTCAAGTCACTCTCGCGTCATGAGTGGCATTTCCAATTCACTACAGTACCCTTAAATTCTTTATTTGATCAAAAATGAATGAGATATTTCATTGTAAGTTGATTATTTTCAATTGTGGTTTTCTGCGAAGTAGCTTGCAAGCAGATCTGGTTCATAAACACTGGAGAACATTACAGAACATTCTGGATCAGCCGAAGGGTTTAACGATACCTTTGTGAATCGGTATTGTCCCATTTTAAATAGAAGTTCAATTGAAATTCAAGACTTCCATTTCAACTAATTTCTTTTGTAATGTAAATATGTTTAAAGAAATCTTCCAAATACTACGACAACTAAACTTTTCAAAACTTTTCAAAGATTTTAAAGATTTAAAAATATTCAAATCTATTTTGTTAAAACGAGACATGTCATCTACAAAAGATATTATATTTTGAAGATTATATATCTAATTTAAGAATTGCTTTTCGGAAGATCATTTAAGTCAGTAATCATTGAAGAATTTCTTAATTCATGGATCGTATACGTATCAAAGTATTGCTTATTTTCGGGTTTAGACACAAATTGCAAAGGGATCAAGTATCCATCAAATGGCCTGGTTTTGCTTAGGAATTAAATATGTACATATTTCGTAGAAATATATTTAGTTATTTAAGGGTCAAATATATACGCGTATTTCGTAGAAATATATTTAGTTATTAAAGGGTCAAATATGTACGCGTATTTCGTAGAAATATATTTAGTTATTAAAGGGTCAAATATGTACGCGTATTTCGTAGAAATATATTTAGTTATTAAAGGGTCATATATGCAAAAGAATAATTTCTACTTGTAAGGATAATTTCTAGTTAAGAAATTTCTTCTTTTTTACAAATAATATAACTGCAAAAGAAAAGCATAATTTTAGGGATTATTTCTAATCAAGAGATTTACTTCTTTTAGGGATCACTTACGCATATAAGGGACTCCTCATGATACTTGGACTCTTCCTGGCTTATGAAACAAGGAGTGTAAAGGTAGAGAACAAAATATTATATGTATTTTTTTATTTCATATTTATTTTTTACTTTATAATCATCCCCTTAAATAGTCCAAAGAACAGCAATTGCGCCGTTTGTTTAGACCCATGTCACATAATAAGTTGATTTCTCAGACATCTGGTAAAACTATTTCCTTGATAACAAAATCAAATACACAAAATGTCGTTTTTTGGGTCTCACCGCAGTTCAAGCTAATAATTAAAATATTGGAAGAAATTAAAAGCTATTAAAAAAAATAACATATTTTGGCTTTTGTGAGACCCAGGGGGGGGGAGTCGAGGTGAATGTGGTTTTGTGAGACCCAAGGGGGGGGGGAGTCGAGG